ATATTTTTTTTATAAATCATTTAATGCATTGAGCATTTTAATTGCAGAAAGACAAACAAACATCAAAATGTTATGAAGCCAACATTTTTTTATGTCGTTGACGGAGACTTATAATATTAAAAATATGATTAGACATTTTTAGGATTTCATTTTGGCATAGCTTACAAAACGAATCCCAGTTTTAATACCAGCCAAGTGTGTGGATTATTGGAGTATTACTTTTGCCGATTGTAATAGTTGCCTAGGAAATGCCTTTTGCATCAAATCAAATCAAATTGCCCTTACAATGTGGTATGTGAGGCACACGCTAGTAACCCTTCCTCGTCAGGTCTATTCCACATCGGAAATGCTTTCGCATTACTTCGAAGTGGGGCTTATGTGTCGCTCTATGCTCTTTTATATCTTTATCTGCGTTCAGATTGTCATGTTTATATTTTCGCTATAATATGACCTAGCTGCGATCTCATAATATAAAAAGCCTAACCAGAAACTCGAAAATCCATCCACATCCATCGTGTACGTCAGTAGTACCAGCACCTGGTAGCGTTCTAAACTGACCTAGGGTTCGATTTCTTTCCACCCCAACAACTTCATGTAGCAATTGCACAGAAAATTGTAAAATATGTATGGAGTTTCGCAGTGACGTCAGTTAGAGACTGTTTTTGCAGGCCAGATTGGTCGCTGGCTGTTGAGCGTTCAGCGGGAAGGATACGAGTGCCCAGAAGCCGCAGCACGTTCAAGATACACATTTGCTTCTCTCAACACGTTGCTACTTCATCCTTGCTGCTGCTGCTGCTGCCGGCTGCCCCTTTGCCGTTCGCATTTATATCGCTGTCGGTATGTGAAAATACTTTCGTGTTGACGTTGACGCTGGCGGGTAGTTAATCGGTCGCTTGCAACGCCAACGGTGACTTACTTGCCCAACACTGCCACACCCCACGACACGTCAGCCCACCCCCAGATACTGTGGGTGGTACCAGGTGTACGTAAACGTGCCACAGGCCCACTTAATGCAGCACACTGAAGTGCGATAAGGAATTTCCAGATTTCTTTTACTTCTCGCATATACATTTCAGTAGTCAGTCAAGTACAGGGTGATCCAAGCTGTCCGACGATGCAGCCAAATATTGGATGGATTGTCTAATGAGCATTTAACTCTCGAATCGGGAGTTTTCAATTTATGAACTCGATTTGAAATTGTTATAAGCAAAGCTTGAGCGTAACCTAATGGCTGCTATGGTATATATACTATATAAAGAAGGTGGTTCGGCATTGGGTTTTCCATATCTCTTATCCCCGGTTTGAATTCGAACTTTGGTGCTTCACATTTGTTACAATTTTCATTAGAATCCCATTTCGTATAATCCGTATTAGGATAACCGAATATTTCGTTAGCTAATATAAAAACTCTAAGGTTAAGGTTCAGCTGTTCATTATCTAGCTTTAGGGTTTGGTTAACTGCTAATAAAAGAAATAGGATTTCCAGTCTCAGTCCCGGTTCGACTTAAAAACAGTTCGTAGATTTGGTAACACGCATCTTTAATCTCAAAAACCGATTGAGACATTTCAATTAATTGCTTTATTCTTTATTCTGTACAACATTTAATCTATCAATTATTGCAGCTTCGCCTTAAGATTCTATTAACGTATGCATCTGAGCACCCTGTAGTTTCAAATGCGTTTCAGTTTTTATTTTTGTGCCTTTATTCGGGCAACTTTTGTTGCCACTTTTGTGTTTTGTTTGCACATTTCTGCGCCAACAACTGTCAATCTTTTTTTTGTTGTCGCTGTGGCGGCTGATGAAGCTTGCTCCAGTGGCACGGTCTACGCCTTTGTCGGCATCCCCCCCTTCGGCCAAATTCCGTCTTTATCCAGAACTTGGTCTCCGTGTCCGTCTCTAACTCGCAATTCGGCTCATGTGTTTTGATACACATATTGTATCGTTTTGTGCCGCGCAGCCAGCAAAGGCTCGTACGTGTGCTTAAGGGTTGGGGCTTAAGGTGTGTTGTGTATGTGTGTGTGTGTATTTGTGTGTGTGTACCTAAGGGGGTGGTGTACGCCATAAGTGGCTGTATAAAAAGAAGTCGACATTTATTTGCGAGCATGCTGTAAATTGTAAATTACATTTCTAATCTTTGTAAGGCGCTTCACACACACACACACACACACACACACACACACACACACACACACACACACACACACACACACACACACACACACACACACACACACACACACACACACACACACACCCACACACACGCACATACTTACCACAAGCTGGGCGCTATACTAACTACACTTTAAGGCTGCTGCAGTCTGTTTGGGAACAGCCCAGAATCTCCCCCAACGTCGCACACAGACAGCAATCTGAAGGACAGAGACAGAACTAGAGAGCGTCACGCACTTTTGCTCATTTGTGTTTTAAATTTCATTTGAGATTACAACAACAAATACGAGCAAAGTAATGTTAAGTAGAGAAAGTTACAATTTCGGTTGCCAACTTGAGGGAACGTCTTCCACGTCCCTCGAGGGACTCAGAGCGCTGCATTGTGCCTTTTATGCTCGCCGTGATTTGTGTCTGACTGTCTGTCTGTCTGTCCCTGAGTCTCGCTAGCTGTCTGTCCCTGAGTCTCGCTAGCTGTCTGTCTCCCGCTATGCTGTGTTTTGCGTGTGTCGCTTAAAAAACTGCGGCAGTGGCAATGTCACGTTTTGTGTTAATTTAATTACAAGAAACCATTTGTAAATATCACGACGTGATTTGCAAGGCACGCATAGCCGCACAGCAGCGCACCTACTACCAAAAGACACACACGCGCACACACACTCGCATGGAGACTGTGTGCTCCTGAAAAGTATATAGAATTTTCAGCAGTTTTCATTTGCATTTGCAATTCATACGTAAGCAAATTGTCTTTGCGGCAGCTCCTCCCAACACCCCACACCCTCACACCCACTCACCCACTCACCCAGTCCCTTGCCACTTGCCGCATCCCACAGCATCAGCAGCAGCAGCAGCGCCTGCAACGGTTGGTCGCAGAGTCGTTGGCATTCTGCCTGTTGGTAGCCACAAAAATGTCCCTTTTGGCGGCTACAGCCTGGCCAAATGTGTTGCTGCTGATTCTGCTCAGCGCAGCGCAGCATGTTGCCAAGCGCCGCAAGTTGCGCAACATGTTGCCGCTGAATCTGTGCGCCGGCAAATGGGCTTGACTTTTGTTTATGCTTTTTATGAGTGAACCCCACCTGGCCAGATCCTTCAGCTCAGCATGCGCAGGGCATTAAATGTAAATCCACCGTTGAACAGCAGTTGATGGTAAATTATTTCAATAGCAGATAAGCCGCTTAATGTCCCCATTTAATTATTGGCAGTAAACATATTTAGAGACAAATAACTACACGTGTGTGTGCGTGTCTGTAGCTCAAAAAGGTTCAGTGTTAATAAAGAGCTCACCCCCCGCATCCCACTACACATCAGCAACATACAACTGACAATTAACAGTCAATAAGTTTAAATGGCCATAAAAAACAAATTGAGCCACAAGGATTATGCGCTTAAGCAGCACTTAGCCAATCGCTGAAGAGCCAGGAGACCGATTCGAACATAGGTTAGACATGCGGATTACACATTTATTGTGCTTAGCAGAGATTATTGGGGCACTGCAACTTAATATCATAAATAATTGTAGGAGATAAAGCAAAAGAGACAAATATATCTGCAAGTGAGGCCACGTTCCGATCACGCTTATCACACGCTTATCGCGCAGCTGCCAAAAAGGTGCTTAAAGTGAAATCCTCGGATTAATTACAGGCTTATAATGAAGGGTACTGAATATAAAAATTATTAATTGTTGTACACTATATAGCTAAAGATACAAATGTATCTGCAACTTATGCTTTATGTGCTTGAGAACCAAGTACTCAAGATCCAAGGATAACATACACACTTATGCTTGGCAGCTACTATTAGCGCACTGCAGCTAAATATTATTTAATCTTGTACAGTATAAGTGCAGGTGAGGTCATTGCGCAGCTGCCGATAGGTACTCAAACATTATTGGAGATTCATGGATAACTTACGAACTTATATTTGGCTATTACTTTTTGGGCACTGCAACAAAAATTTGTACAATACATGGCTTAAGATACAAATGTATCTGCAAGTAAGGCCACATTGAGATCTCACACGTTTATCGCGCATGTGCTAATATTCCGCGAAAGATCTGTACAGTAGATATGAACTAATATCTCAATAGAGACTTACCAAGATGAAGCATAAGTATAAACAAGTTTTGCTTTAGCGGCCGCTTGGCGATTGTGATTTCGTGGCAGCTCAAGCAAAAAGCGCCAGTCATTAAAAGTTGCAATAAGAAACTACTTGGAGTGCACTCTGGGTCGCCTCGCCTATTACTTGTCCTAATGGCGTGCAATTTAAGCTTGGCGCCACACTCACGTGTGCCACAGGGTCAGGTGTGGCACTAGCAGCAGCAACAGCAGCAAATGGTGTGGGAAGGGGCGGGGGATGTGAAGAGGCAGGGCGCGCGGTTGTTGCGCACTTAAATTAAACACCCGACAGCACTTTGGGCAATTCATTTCATTTTTGCAACCTGGCAACAACAGAAGCTAGCAAACAACACGGAAAAATCTTCAAATGCAACATCGTGACAGCTTCATTCCCCACCAGCAACCTCAACAACCTCCATCTGCACCTCCGTTCAGTGAGACAGAGAACTGGTGGTGGCTGAAGAATGACCAAATGAAGTACTTTGAACGTTCTAGCTGTCTGCCACAAGATTCTAGAGATGTATTACCAAAAGTGCTGCTTTTGATATTTTGTGTGTGTGTGTGTGGGCATGTGTGTGTCCTCCTTCAATCTAAAGAGAGAACTGGGATCACGTAGAGTGTCTAAAATAGCCCAGCAAAAAAATTGTGTTGTGAACTGATTAGAAGAGCAATAATTATTTTAATGGTTAATAAAAATAAGACAATACAATAAATGAAATATTTGTGGTTATTAAGTAAATAAAAGTTGAATTGGTTCCCGTCCAGTTTCAACGATTGGGTTTTTATTTTTATAGTTCTGCTGCTTTTATTTTATAATTTACTTCTCAATATTTTATTCTGAGTTATTTAAGGTTGCAAGAGATTTGGAGAGCACCTTATTATTTCTAATGTTTTCGTTGATGCTTTTTGCTAACTCTTCAATTCGTTGCTTGGCATCTAAATTATGTTTATTACCATTTGGGAATCGCCTTGGAATTATTTGTATATTACCTGCAACGCCTTGACCTTGTTTTTTTTCTTTATATGATTTTGCGCACTTTGAGCTATCACATTTTGTTTATTTTCATAGAGGTAGCCCTTTGGCTGTTGATTTACAATTGTTTTGATACTACCCGCTTGGCATTCATTAAGATACTCATTCTTTAAACTAGATTGATCCATTAGGGACTTGAAGTTTTGCTGCATATTTTGATTTTTCTTGATATTGCGTGACATATCTTGAACTTGCTCTACCCTTTTTTTAATACAGTCGCTCTTCACATTATTTTGCTCCAGAGGCTTTTCATTTGGTTTAATTTGATAGAAGTGCCCTCTTGGCTGTTGAATTTCCTCTGTTCCCTGATCTTGATTTTTCTTAAGATAGTCGTTTTTCATGATATTTTGATCTATTGTCTGTGTATTCAGAATCTTACCTTTACCTTGGGCTTGATTTTCTTCAATACTATCCTTGTTCATATTTGGTTTGTTCTGATAGAAATATCCTCGTGGCGCTTGATTTGGAATTTGAATTTGGGTTTTCTTAAGATAGTCATTCTCCACAATATTTTGATCCTTTAGAGGTATCACACCAAGCTTATCCTGCTCGGGTAGTTCCCTTGGTTGCACATTTCCGAATGTTTTGACATTATTATTATTTTGCTCTAGTAGAGTTTTCACATTGTGTTTGATCGGCTGGGATAGGAGCGGTAACTTTTGTTTTTGAATCGATTTAACTGTAGGAGCGAGTCCTCGAATTTGTTTGGCTTTTGGATTCTTTATATTACTACTACTATTATTAGGCACGGTAAGTGTGTCCAACTCTTCCTTTCTAGGATTGATATTTTCTCCAAACATTTTCCAAACTTCCTCAGCAGAAGACTGGTTGTTCTTTGGCGCACACGTCTTATTTTGAATTGACACTGTCTTTAAAGGGGTATGCTTTCTATTATTATTATCGGGTTCAAATTGTGTTGGGCCTTTATAAGAGTCCGTTAATTACACTAGCATTATTTATGTATAAGTCCAAGCTTTACAGCCTCAACTTACCCGATGGCTTTTCCAGATTAGTTACATTCTCATCCGGCTGCGAGTTTCTCGATTTGTTTAATTCTGCTGTGTATAATCCGTAATCCGATATGACGGTCAGCAGGGTATTCCTCTTTTCAATAAAGTACTTCTTATAGTAAGGCGGCACAATTTCTTGCGGCTTGGGTATATATTTATGACCATCGCTGATACCAAAGACGCGAAATGGTGCCAGCGTTACGGTAGATGGGGAATCGCGCCAGTTTCTTAGCACTATAGTGCGTCTCCTCAGCGTTGTAGACAGATAATGAGATTTCACTTCGGGACTGAAGACATTTGTTAATTATATTTATACTTGCATTGAATATATTTAAGTATTTTGCTTACGATTCTGCACGGCTTTGGGCCATTTTTAGCTTTTTTAAATTGACGCTCTTTTTCTGAATACAACTTTCACTATTTGTCCGATTTTATGGCGACATATTTGCAAAGTTTACTTGATTCGTTACATGAAAAACGACACTGTGGAAGTTCTTTTTATGACAAACAGTAGTCAACACTGGAAAATGCCTGTCGTTGATTTTGTAAGCAAAATAAGAACTAATGAATAGAGATAAGCAGTGACTCAGTAACTAGTCAAACGATTGTTATAGGCCACAGTGACTGATCACGCATTTTTATTGAAATGAAGATGACTTTTTTATGATTAAGTCAGTGTTTCTTTATCACGAATACATTTTAATTTATATAGCAGTCGTTTGTGTTCTGTGAAAATTAATAATTAAAAGTTCGAGATGAGTCAAGTCCAGGGTATATCAATAACGCGCCCAATAGCAGTTACTGCCAGCCATCGGTGATATATCGCATACAAATATCGAAAATGCGCCCGATAAGTGATTGGCACGACTTGCCGAGGTCATTTGCGTTGCAATCGCAGCGTTTTATCACATTGAACAACGCCCAAAGGTGCTACCGGGGACGAGCACAGGGTGTAGCACATTAGTTGCCAACGCTAGCTTCACGAGTTGCAAGTGTATGCGCGCATCTCTGTGTCTGTGACTGTGTATGTGTGTGTGGAAAGCATTGATTTTCTTGGTTTTCGTAATCAAAAGTTTTGTTCCCACGGCGCGTTCACACTGATATTCTTTGCACACACACACACATGCGCACACACATACATACGCCGCTTAATTTGCTGCAGTTTGCGAGGACGACGACGAGGAGTCGTTGGAGTATAATAAATTTTTGTGTGCTACCAACACTCTGACAAATTAATTAAAATGATTGGCCTGCTTCAGTTCTGGTGCTGGCCCAGCCCCGCAGGAGCTGCCCCGACCACATCACACACGCACACCCGCGACGTTATGTAGATAAGCGAGTATGTGTGTGTGTCTGTGTGTGTGCGTGGGAGGGTGTGTAACATTTTTACATGCGCTTGCACAGCGCCTGCCGCGACGCTTGCGACGTGTCGTTCGCAATTAGCAAAGTAAGCTTAATGTGGTTTCACTTGAATTACTTACGAGTGTCGCTGCGGTGCACAGAGAGAGAAAGAGAGAGGCCGAAGTAGAGGGAATGGGGAGACAGAGCAAGCAAGGAGCATGCTCTCCCAACTGCTCATCAATTGCAGTGCTAACCGAAGCAGGGCCAAATTCAAGTTCATTTCGCTTCCAGAAATTTCCAACTGCAACGAACGCAATTACCAGCACTCGCAGTGCCCCAAATATTGGGTATATACTATATATGTACATATATGCATACATACATACATATGCATATAGTGCTATCCCTTACTGGTCTCACAAATGAGATGCACGCCTGCCATTTATCTTACAGTGATACGATCCGATACGACGTGTTCGTGTTAAGTCGAAGTAAAAATAAAATAATTCAATTATAGGTAAATTAAGTTGTTTATACTCATATTAAAATACTTATATATGATTAAAACTATGCTAGACCAAAAATTTTCTAAGACCTAAGCAAAGTAGGATGGCATATGAAAAGCTTTCAATTGATTCTGCTTTTATGATTAAATATTAGATACACTCCATGCTTATCAAAGTATCAAAATTAAAACTTTTTCCATAACAATACCATTTCTAATATCTATAAAACTGTTTTTAAAATATAATTATTTGCCAATCATATGCAAATAATTATATACGACATTAGAATCACAATAAATTGAATAACATTTTGCATTGTAAACAAATTGTGTATTGTAATAATTAAATTTTGCTAGCTTTTTAAAAATTTGACTCATTTTTTTTTTATTGATTTTTGTTGTTATTTTGACTGATTGTGTATTTGAATACTATTGTTCTCTTTCAATTATTATATTTGATAGAATATCTTCCTTTTCGCCACGCGTTTGGTTGTGACACAAAAATATTTGTCGTATTAATAATATTAATTTTACTTTTGTTACTGGCATTAGATTAAATATCATGGTCTAGCTTTGTCATTGACTCGAATTCCAAACTGCACTGCTTCGATCTGTCAAACTGGTACTGAAATATCATGATATATAAATAACATGTTATATTAAAGTAAATTGTATGATTAAAATAAATTAAAGACCATAAATCTACACATTTGAAATTAATGAGCAATAATAATATATTTATTTGTAGCTGCAATCAAATCAACTAAAATGAAAAGCACAAAATATACTCCAGCTTTAATTTACATATTATTATTTAGTCGCAATTTGTGCAATTGAATGTCACTGATTTTTCAGAGTTTCATAAAAATCCCAGTTGAAGTATTTTTTTTTTTTTTTTTTTAAAGGTAATAATGAGATTTATTTAACAAGATAAGTGTGCTGCTACCCTGCAAGGCAACTTAAACTAATCAGAAAATTAAACTAAAAATAACAAAATAATTCATGATAGAACATGACAATGAATTAAAGATAACTTATAGGGGGGAGGCTTAAGGGGTGATACTGGGGAGATCGTCTAAATTTTAGTATGAGATATTTATGTCAAGACCCGGTTCAGGAGGTCTTGAGGGTGGTGGCGTTTGAGTCTCCGCCTTACTCTTGTACGGTGACAGGCAGTATTTAGGCGTCTAGCTAAACAGTTTGGATGAGCTCCTAGCCTCTCCATGTATTTTTGGGCAATCACTTGAATTCTGTCACCTACTTTGGGCACCTTAAGGTCGCGCTCAATGTTACGTGTCCTTATGTACCATGGAGACCCAGAGATCATCCTCAAGGTCTTAGCTTGTAGCACACGGATCTTATTCAGGTGCGACTTGGCAGTAATACCGTACACCTGTATGGCATAGAATAGGCTGGGAGCTAAAATGCACTTATATATTTTGACCTTGTTCTCCAGCGACAATTTGTTTTTGGCGGAGAGTAACCAGGACATCTTGTTTAATTTGGCTCTATATGAGCGCTGCAGTGACGTGACATGTCTTTCGAAGGTAAGGCTTCTGTCTAGGATGACACCTAAGTACCTGTGCGCAAATGAATGATCCAGTACTCTTCCATTGAGTGATACGACTGGGCAGTTCTGCACTCGATTTGTGAAAGTCACGTTTGCACATTTACCTGCGTTAGTTGAAGTATTAGACAGAGTTCGGAAGTACACATATACACACAAAAATTCTTCGATCACACAATATTATTGCATACTTTCAGGGGCCTGCAATTCCCATATTTTCTCCCAAATCGCACACACACGCAAACAGGGCCAACAGCGAGTGCCTATATCGGTGCCGTAGCAGCTGCAACAAAAATGACAAATTTTGATTCAACTCACAGTTCATCTTACTTTTGTGGCTTACACGTTCAGACACATTGTATACAGATGTGTGTACATGTACATGTGTGGCTTGCGTGCTTGGTACAAGTGTGCAAGCCCAATGGTACATCCGATGACTCAAATGAGCCATCAACTCTGAGGTTCGACTGTTCATTTATTATTTGAATGAATAAAGTCGCTTAATTAACGTTTGTACCAATTTGTGTAAATGCCGTCGAAAGTCGTTGGTTACGCATCGCCAGGTCGATCAATTTTCGATCAGAAGCCATTGGCATTAAAATGCAAATTTCAGAAGTGCAAACACAACTTGAGAGAAAGTTGAGAGAAGTTATATAAACGATATGGATATGCAAAGCAAGGCCAGACAACGACGACGTCGACGACCACGTTGACGATGTTCTTCATTAAAGTTCTTGGTCTTCTTCAGCACAAGACAAAGTGAGAGTTGGGCATGGCGAAGGGGTTTTGCGTTTGGGTTGAGTCGCTTCAACAGCAGCAAATGAAACACGTAACTGGCAAAGTTGTGTGTCCAAATTGCAGACATGCCAACTCCTTGGCCCTTGGTCCCAAGCGGAATGCAGGCGCCACCAGACGCAACCTGGCGGCACTCAAAAAGAAGAAAAAAATCCTTCCTGCCCTTGTCGCTGCCATTGTTGTTGCATGCATAATAAGCGAGCATGAATAAGTGACACAGAGCGAAAGACAGAGAGAGAGAAAGAGTGAGAGAGAGAGAGAGTGAGGGAGAGCGAGCAAGAGAAAGAGAGAGTGAGACGGCTCAAGTGCACTTATGCGACAATTAGAAAAGTTTTTTTCGGATGACTGACTGACTGACGATAAGTGAGAAGTGGCAAATGAATGTAAATACGTGTCACTTTTGTTTTTATGCTCTATACCCCTTGAAAATGAGTAAGAAGAGTATTCTCCCTGTCCGTCGAGATATACGCTTCTATCTCGGAAACTACAAGACCTGAAGAGCGCAATTTGGCATATATATAATATATTTATCTATGTCTATTTTATATCTTCGCCCATTTCCATAATATGGAAACCCGATTTGTAAGGTATATCTCGCATAATATAAGCTTAACAAATTTAAAACGTTAAATCTTATATGGAATATTTACCTTTCTTTCGTGATATATCCCTACGCTTTGGTATATACACACATTTACAAGCCATATTTAAGCCCTGAAATCTTAAACAAATCAGGATACGAGCACCGTAGTTATTCGAGAATGAATTTCCCAAAGTTAGGGATTGTTTTTGCATATAGAAGTTAGTCCAGATGTCTGTTGCGTCAGCTCGTCGCTAGTTACAGGGTATCTGTTTGTCGGTAACTCTCGACCAAAGAACTCTTTATCCTGAAATTGCAATGCCTTAAGCAGCTGTAGCAATCAGTTCAGACGCACAGCACGCATGGATGCGACAATGTGGATGCGTATTGGTGCGCTGGCCTGGCAAATTGATGACCGCTTTCAAAAGCTCAACCTTACAGAAACATTATGTGCTGTCACACAAAACAAAAGTCATAATTTATAATGGCTTTATGGGCTCGCTCAAATTGATATAAAGGTCAAGAGTGTGCACGTGCTGTCGTGGTGGGCTTCCCAAGAGCATGACCAGTGTGCAGCATCCACGTTAGCTGGCCACATTCTGACGAGCATAATGCCAGCGAGCTTCAAACGAGGCCATTTTGCTGCTTGCCAGCTTGCCAGCCTGCCTGTCAGTACCCCGTACCCTCGATTCAGTGGGATGTGTGTGCCT